GGGATTTCTCACAGTGGGAGCTGATCTCCACTTCTCCAAGGGGCTGCGGGAAGTGATCGAGAAGTATCGCTCCACCCCTGCAGTCCCTGCTGAGCCCACAGTGCAGCCCACAGCAGCCAACACAGACCCCCACCAGCTGTAGCTCTGCTTACTTGCTCCTTCACCCTGGACAAAGGTCAGATCCCGGGCTGGACCCATAGGCTGTAGGTAGGAAGCAACATCCCCAATACCACTCACACATCCTGCAGGGCATCTGCACCCAGGTGGGCAGCAGCAAGGTGGAGACAGATGCTCTGGGAATCCCTGTTGCACCCCTTCTCATACACTAATAAACCACTGAATGCTAGCTTGCACTGCTTTGTTGCTTGGAGGATGAGCCTACTCCAGACCACATAGCTGCCAGCTCTGGGGGAGAGCTCCTGCTTTTGGGATGGTTTGTTTTCAGGAAGCCCCAGTGCCCTCCACAGAAAGGGAAACGCAAGCTCTGACGCCCAAGGACACCGTGCACAGCACATTAGCACTCACTGCTGCTGAAGCCTCTGTTAGGAACCACTCTTGAGACAGCAAAAGAAAGCAAAGCAGGGGATAGCAGAGAGGTGCAAGGAGTTCATTAATGAGGAGCAGGACCACCTTATTCAGAGTTTATTGTGGGTTCCCAAGAGCACTGCGTGACCTAGGCAGTGAAACTGTCTTCATTGTAAATTGCCTTTCACTGAGGTCAGGTTGGGAGTGGTTTCAAAGGGAGTAGAAAGCCCTTGCAGGGGAGCCCATGGCCACCACATCAACTGTGCTTAGCAGAGAGCAGCTGGCTCAGAGCCTGCCTAGGCCACATGTGTACAGAGGCTGCAGGACAGAGGGAAGTGGTGAGGACTGCTCCCAGCCTACGAGGGAAGTAATTGCCTCCAGAAACGGGGAGGAGGTGAGACAGGAAGCCACAGCAAAGAGACAGCTGCAGTGCCCAGCAGGGATGGCATCCCAAGGACTCCTCTCCCTGCACCCTGCAGAAAGCCCGCCTCCAGCCTAAGCATAGTCGTTGGGGCCCGGGGAATCCCTGCCGGCTGCAGTCGTCACTTTGTTCATGACACAGGGGAGCCCTGGTGCAGCCGAGTGGCAGTGATGAGCTGTGCAGGAGGTGACTGTTGTACGCAGGCAGCCCAAGGCCCTGGGCACAGCCTCCCCAGCTCCTAGTACGGCTCATTCTTAATGAAACGGCTGAACATGGTGAAGGCAGCGAGGGGTTGGTCTGTAGGCACCATGTGGCCGGCTCCCTGCAGGAAACAGGTGCCAGCAGTCAGTGCCCTCCATGGCTCCACTACCGCCTGGCCCACGGCTCCAGTGTCAGCCATGAGTGACCACAGTGGGACCAACTGCAAGGCACCACCTCAGCCCTACCTTAACAGTGAGGAAGGCAATGTTGGTGAACTCTTTCACGAAGCCCCCGATCTGGTTCTCACCTCCTTCAGTGTAGAGCCAAGGTCGGCGAGCCACCTGCACCTGGGAATAGAGACAGCACCCTCGTTGCCCAGCCCCACAGACCCCACCGCTTCCCCCTGTATCTGGGCTGATCCCTCACTCTGCCCATTTACCTTCTGGCACAGGGAGTCCACGAACCACTCATCCCCAAGGAAATTGCAGGCCATGTCGACATCCCCATTGTACACCAGGATTCTGTATTTCTGCAGAGCAGGAAGAGCATGAGCACCGCACAGGGCACGGCCCTATCTGGGAGGGCTGCTTCCATGGGCTGCGTGCTCCCCCACACATACACACCATGGCTCCAAGAAGTTTGAGGTACTGGTCATTCATCTGCGTGTACAGACGCTTGTAGCTGCGGTTCACCTCGAAGCTGCAGAAGAAGCAGCAGTGAGCTCAGCAGCTGCTTGTGCCACACACTCAACCCCACCTGTGTCTTGCTCACCTGCACACCTGCCACTCTGGGGCATCGGGGGAGATGTGGAGAGCCTTCCTCACTTCTGGGGAGTTCAGATACATGGTTGGTGCTGTGGAGTTGGTGCACGGTGGGTCCATCCGCACCTTATTGCGGGCTACAGGCATCCGGAACAGGTTCTGGGAGAGTTGGGATAGCCCTGCAGCAGCACCTCAGCACTGCCCGCAGGGAGAGCTGCCCCATCCCCTACTGTGCAGGTGGAGGGTGCTGGCAGCACACTGTGACAGGGACCCACACTCACCTGGCGCCAGGAGAACCTCATTGGCATCCGGATGAAGGAGTTTCCCAGGTCATGTGTGACGAGATAGTCACCCTCATACCTGCAGGCAGACCAAGCACGGCCACAGGGTGAGAGCTCTGGAGGAGCAAGGGCTTGGGATAACGGCCCCGGGCCCACCACCAGGAAGAAGTGGCCACAGAAGCAGTGTCTCTGCCAGCGCCCTGCTGCTGGTAGGGATCTGCATGCTGCTTGTGCTTGGGGATAGCGCTGCTGCTGTCGCCACTCTCACCTCATGCTTCCAGGAACACCGCCAGCACACGGGGCGTAGAGATTGTAGATATTGAGCCCAGACTCCTCTACAATCTCAATCATCTCTGCCATCTGCAATGAGCCACAAGCAGGACGGGCTCAGGACTCAGCTTGAAGGACCACAGCACACACCCAACACCAAGCACAGTGCTGCTGCTCGCAGGAATTGGAGCAGGGCTCGGGGATTCCAGCCTTCCCTCACCTTAAGCGTGCAGTTCAAGTTGGAGTTGTCATGGAAGTTGCACTTCCCTTCAGAGCAGCAGAAGGCCTGCAAGTCCTTCCATAGCCTGCAGGCAGAAACCAAGAGTTGGAGTGATCCACCAGAGCCCACCCTGCTCTGTGCCACAGGGACCAGCAGCGCTCCCCCCAGCAGTGCTCCCCGCTCTCACTGGGTGCCCAGCAGGCCATGGTAATAGGCGAAGTACACCAAGGAGTTGTCGTTGATCTCATAGGAGGAGAGGCCATTTCCCACAGCGATTCCCTGCGGGGCAATAAGAAAACAACTCTGTGGTGTTGCAGCTCCTCACAGGGCAGCCACAGAGCATCGGCGTCAGGCAGGAAGCAGATGTGGCTCTGTTTACTTCATGGGGGAAGAGGAAAGGCCATGGGCGCCTGGGAGCACTCCTCAGTCTCACGCAGCGGAACACGTTCACCGCCAGCACCCAGGGAGATGAAAGGCTGTGGGGCTGGGGCTGCCCCAGGCAGCAAGGCCATGCCCTCACCTTGAGGTTAAGGCTGGGGTCCTGCATCACCCACTCTGCCAGAGTGGGGATGTAGATGCCGCCGTAGCTCTCCCCTGTGAGGAAGAGGTCGTTCTTGGAGTACTCAGGGAAGAGCCGCAGGAACTCCTTCAGCGCCAGGTAGTTGTTGTGTGCGACCTGCAGGGACAGCAGATGGCATCAGCGGGGTGGCACTGGGCCAGCAGCTCTGGGCTGGGCCTGCAACAGCCTCACCACTCACCTCGGTGTCGTTGGTAGCATACTTCTTGTCCTCGGAGTATGAGAAGCCAACGCCTGCAGGGGACTCCAGGTAGAGCATGTTGGCAATCTGTGAGGACAGCAGAGGGGCAGGGGAGCATGGAAGTCCAGGAAGCTCCTGGCACAGAGGGCCAACGGCCTTCACCTATGGCACCATTTGTGTGTGGCCCACCCCAGTGTTGCAATGAGAACCTCATCCCTGCTCTGCAGAGAGCTGGAGGGGGGGGGCAGCACAGAGCAGTTCAGAGCCATGGTTCCCCACAGCTTGGGTGGGGCAGGAGCCGCTCCCTGCCTGCAGCAGGGCCCATACCTTGTTCCAGGCATAGTCATTGTACTTCAGCGTGACCCCATCGGGCTGCACCTGAGGAGGGAGTGGAGACTGATAAGTGGCACACCACAGGGCCCAAGACACCACCCGCATCATGGAGCCCTGCAGACCGCAGGCAGCTGTGACCACTGACCAGGAAGGGGCCATGCTCTTTCAAGAAGCCTTCCATGGAACTGCAGCCAGGGCCCCCGTTCAGCCATAATACCAGAGGGCTGCTCTGCGGGTTGTTCTGGGCCTCCACGAACCTGCGGGGTGAGTGATGTGAGTACCCAGTGCCCAGCCAGCACCGGTCCCACGCACCAGTACCACGTCCTAGCCCGGCCCTACATACCAGTAGTGCAGGCGCTGCGTCGGCCCGATGCACAGGTGCCCCGAGAAGTGGCGGAAGGACGGCTGCTTGGGCAGCCCGGGCAGGAACGTCACCTCATGGCCCGCGGGCGCGGCGTGGGCCGGCCCCAGCCCCAGCAGCAGCGCGCACAGCAGCGGCAGCATCTGCGGAAGGCACAGAAACGGCGATGCCGAGGGCCCGGACACACGCAACGAACCGCACCGAGCTCCGCCGCCCCGCACCGATGCGGTGCCCCTCGCCGGTCCCGACTCTGCCGGCACAGTCCCAGCGGGATCACTCCCTTCTACCACGCCCGGTGCCGCACGCCGCTCACCCCGCACCCCGATCCCGCAGCGCCCCGCAGCACATGACCCGCGCCCATATGACCTCCGAGCGGTCACGTGCCGTTGGGCGGGGCCTCGAGGACGGAGCGGGGACAGCCTTAGCCAATCGGCGCATCGTTTGCGGCAGCTGGCCACGCCCCTCCCTCCACGCCGCGCGCGCACGTGTGAACGAACCGGCCGGCCGCGCCACGCACCGCACTCAGGCGCGGCGGCTGCACCGCCCGGGCGCGGATCCCGCGCGTGGGCCCACGCCGCCCCGGGGCTGTCGCAGTAACCCCGCACGCCCCCGCGCCTCGCGGACACCGCGGGGCACTACGAGCGGGCACGGTCTCGGAGTTCCCCGATGTAGGGCGAGGAGCGGGGAGCCCAGGACCCCGTCCCTGCACGGCCCCGTCCCTGTACGGTCCCGTCCCTCGCAGCCCCGTGGGCAGCACCGGACACCCCGCGCCGCCGCCCTCCCGCGGGGCCCCGTGCGTTAGGACCGGCCCCAGCCACCGCCTGCCAGCAGCTGCCCGGCGCCGCGCGGTTAAAAATAGCGGCGCAGCCATGGCGGCTCCGGGCCACCCTCCCACCCGCTTCCACCGCGTGCACGGCGCCAATGTGCGCCTGGACGCCTCGCGCACACGGGCCACGCGGGTCGAGAGCTTCGCCAACGCGCTGTGCTTCAGCCACGAGCCGCTGGCACCCGGGCAGATCTTCCTGGTGGAGATCGAGGAGAAGGAGCTGGGTTGGTGCGGGCACCTGCGCGTGGGGCTGACGGCGCACGACCCGCAGAGCCTGGGCACCGTGCCCGAGTATTCGCTGCCTGACCTGGTCGGCCTGGGAGACACCTGGGTGTTCGCCATCACCCGCAGTCACAACCGCGTGTCGGCCGACGGGCAGGAGGAGCCGGCCCCGGCCCCGGCCCCGCTCTGGGAGCCCGAGCTGCGCATCGAGGGCGTGAGGATCCCCCGCGACAAACTGGTGGGGCGCAGCCGCCCCGGGCGCTACAGCCATCTCCTGGATGAGCTGTACCGCACCAACGTGCTGCCTCCCACCGCCCTGCGCAGCCGCATCGGCGTGCTGTACGCCCCGCGGCCCGACGGCACCGCCGACATGCACATCGTCATCAACGGGGAGGACATGGGGCCGAGCGCCCGGAGCCTGCCCACCGCGCGGCCGCTCTACGCTGTGGTTGACGTCTTCGCCTCTACCAAAAGCGTCCGTGTGATCCAGGTGGAATACGGCTGTGGGTATCTGCGCGGTGACCCCGTGGTCCGGTGGGCAGCATTTGAGTGGGATGGGACGTGGGGCACAGAGATACAGGGTGGAGAGTGTGGCAGAGCATCCCGAGTCCCCGTAGAGTACAGTGAGGCCCCACTAGCAGCGGTGCCTCTCAGAAGCCGAGCCGTGGCAGGGATGTGGTTTGGCTCCGGCAGCCCAAGGTCCCCCCTCCAGCCCTGTGCTGGCTGCTCAGTGCCCCAGCCTCGCCCAATCCAGAGCCAGGGCTGCAGCAGCAGATCCAGGGCAGACCCCCGCGGTGCTGCAGCCGTTGGGCAACATCCCCGTGTCCCCAGGCAGGGTGGGGCTGGGATTGGCAGCCCCGCACAGCCACGAGCTCCTGCGAGCAGTCAGCTAATAGGTGCTAATTAGAAGCGTATTGGAAAAATGAGCACGTGCTCAGGATGATGAGGGATGTGAACCAGAAGAAGAAATAGTGCCTGGGTACTGATGGCTCGGTCACCATCATGCTGCTGTGCCACCTGAGCTTTACATAACTGGGAGATAATGAGGTCTTGGCATAGCAGGCACAAGGCCAGAGACAAAGCAAACAAGATACCAGGACCCACAGCAGAGCGACTTCTGCACAGGGAACCTCAGCCCCAAGTTCAGCCTCTCAAGGCTGAGGTCTGGCATTCCCCGTGCTGGCTGCCTTCCTCTAGAAAGGGGAGGGAGGGGGAGAGCAGCAAGGGCTCCCAGCAGGACACAGTGCAAAGTGAGGGCCAGGCCAGCAGTGCACCAGAGGCAGTGAGCAACCCGGTGCCAGCTACCCACAGATTTCTGCAGCTGCTCTTTCTGCAGCGTTTCCCTTGGCTTTACAAATCAGTTTTGGTTTAGTTCTGCTTTTGCTGGGGTGTGGGCGGTCAAGCGAAACCCTGCAGCTGAAGGGCAGGAGACGAGACGCTGCGCAGGGGGGCCCACATTGCTGCTCACCGAACGCTCAGGGCGGCGAGCCCCGGCCTATGATAAGCATAGCAGACATCCAGGAGCAGCCCAAGGCCGGGGCACAACGCTGCTTTGTCTGGTGCTGCCCCGAGGCCTCGTGCTGGCGGCCGTGTGAGAGCAGAGCAGCTGGGCCACCACCCAGGGCCCCGCTCTGCAGCGTGACACCGCAGCCGGCCCCCCCGCCCTGCGCTGCTGGGGGCTTCCCACAGCTCATAGAGGAGGAATCCGCCCACAGCCTGTGTCACAGGGGTCAGGGGGCCGATGGAAGACGCGTCCCGGGAGCATCATGTGAGTCCTCCCTGCAGAGGCTGATGGTGCAGTGTGGAGTGCACACAGGCCACCGAGGGGATGAGGATGAAAGGAAAACACTGTGTGGGCACGTGGGTCCCTGGAGGAACCATATAGCAGCCCCGAGAGAAAACAAATGTAAAACACCACAGTAACACACTGTGTAGGCACATGACTGCAGGGCCACCATGCTCAGCCTGTTAAAGGAGCTCCAGCCTGGGCACAGCATGAGGACTCCACAGGGTGAAGCTCTCCCCCAGCAGAGCCCTGCAGGAGGATGAGTGCTGCCTGCAGCATAAAATTCCCCAAACACTGCCCAAAAGCCAGGAGCCGGCAGTGAGCCCTGCACGCCACTCTCCCAACACAGCTCTCCCAGCCACCCCAGCTCCTTCTGTTTTTGCAAGACTGTTTCTCTTGCAGTCCCTTCCCTGCAGACGCTCTGCCGGCTGGTCATCCAGAAGCACATTGTGCACCGCCTGGCCATCGACGGCTTGGATCTGCCCCCCATGCTGAAGCACTTCTGCCAACACGAGTGAGGAACTGAGGTGCTGCATGGCCTGACAGCCTCCAGAGCATGCCAGAGACTTTGTGTGAACGGGTACGGTTGGAGCTCTGAGCACCCAATGTAGCTTTAGGTGCCCCTGTTGTTTGCACAGCCTCGATGGCCTTCAAGGGTCCTTTCAACTCAAATTGCTGTACGGTTGGGCTCGTGCCCACTCACAGAAGAGAGTGAGTAATAAAGCACTTCAAGGCACAGCCTGAGCTCTCTGCGTGGTGCCGGTCCACAGAGCCCAGGAACAAAGCTACAATTTCCTGGGTCCACAGCAGGGGCGCTGAGCACTGCCTGCAGGTCCTCCTGAACAACAGCCCCGAGACTGCAGGATGGAGGCCTGTGATATGGGATGCTATGTGCTGGGGCACTGCTTCTCAGTGCTGCGGCAAGCTCAGAGCACTGCCAGAGGCGAGTGCAGGGCCAGCAGCCCCAGCCCAGGCTCCTTTCTGGCTGGAAGCAGCCTGCAGCAGTGAGAGGGCGGCCTGGGAAGCTGCGCTGCCAGCAACGGGCCCTCACAAAGGGCTGCAGGGCTCCCTGCTCACGTGGAAGGTAAATTGCAGCTGGGCCCTGTCCCAGCCACGCAGTTTCGCTCTTGGGAAACATGTTTACTGAGAAAGGGATGACTTATTTCCTGTGCTCTCTGAGAAGAGGCGGAAGGGTCGGACTGCTGTCCATACACCACGTGCAGGGAGCAGCTCCAGCAGTGGCTGCTCCTCGTGCCTGTGGCCATGAAGCCAGTCACAGCAAGCTGGGGGAGGTCTGGTGCAGACCCTGGTTCCCAGCCTTGGATCACTGTGTGCCTGTGCTGTGTTTCCCTGGGGAGACTGCTCTGGGAGCAGGCAGAACATACAGCTTTAAGCTTGCAGAAAGGTGTTTTAGGAAACACTACACTATATTTAGACAGAGGGATTTGATATTATCGCACAGCATGACAAAACCCTCAAATGAGGGGAAATTCCCAACCACACTGCAGTTCTACTGCAACAGGCAACTCTAAAATCTGAGTGTTACTGAAGCACCAACTGTGGGAAACACAGCACTAATGAACTACAGAGATCAAGAGAGGTCTGTGGTGCTTTCTGCTCCTCACCAGATGTCCCCAGCACATCCCCCAGCACACAGCCAAGGGGCTGGAGAGGGGGCTGGCAGCTCAGCAGCTGCACGACAGCTTCTAGAGGCTTGGGTGATCGCGTGTTTGTTCTTCTTAGTGTTTTTTCCTCCCCCACCCCACACACCCAAAGCATTTGCTCTGTGCTTTGCAGAAGCCTTGTTTGTACTGCCGTGACCCCCAGCAGGCATGAGGGAGGGCAGTTCCATTTTCTGAATAATTAAGAGCAGCTGCCACAACCAGATAAACAAACGCCCCAACACAGGCAGCACTGCCAGCAGCAGAGATCGCCACCCTCAGGTCCTGCTGCTCCTTAACACACAGGCTCACTCACCTAATGAGTGGGCAAGGAAATTAGACCTGAAAACCAAGGAAAGATGTGAAAAACCCTGCCCAAGTGAGCAGCCTCACAGCCCTCTGGCAGGGAAGGATTGCCTCAGAAACACTCAGCTCCAAAGTGACAAAGGAGCATTTATTGGCTTTGTTGCACAATACCCTCACAGCCGGATGCTGGAAGGACCTGAAGGTGCTGGCCAAAGATCAAATAATTTTATCACATTATTAAACTATCACTTCCTACCCCACGCCACCCTCAGATCACCCCATGCATTTCCTGCTTGTTAGGTCAGCAGCTTGTTACCCATCACAGTCCAGTCAGGAATTTGTAAACCAGCTCCACAGCTCCCCCATGCAGGAGTGGATGCTCACTCACGAAGCGGCCCAGCCAGCCCCTAACTCCCGTGGGGTGCAGTCTGAATAAAGGAGCAATGAAAGCAGGAGGGATGTGGCAGAGCTGCGAGCAGTGCCAGGCGTGAGGCTGGCTCACTGTCCCATACTAGAGTTTCACCTGCATGTAGGGCCCGATCCAGCTGTCAGCCAGCGCTCGCAGCGTGCTGCACCGGAGCTCAAACTCCTCTGTGCTACAACAGGTGAGGAGCTGGCTGACCTCTTCTGTGAGCAAGGACACAGCCAGGAATTTGTCCCGAGACTCATCCCAAGGGCTCTCCAGGTCCTCCAGGAGGTGGTCAGCACTGCCTCGCGCGCTCTCGATGATGATGTCACGTCCCTTCTGCCACTGCTTCCCCAGCATCTCAGGCTGCAAGGTCTTTCTCTCCAAGTTCAGCACAGCCTGGATGTGCCGGCAGGGCAACTGGAACGTCTGGTTGAAGTGGCATGTGCAGTGGCACAGCCCTTCCTGAGTCACTTTGTGAGCATCTTCAAGGATCTGTACGTTGACAGCATCTGTGCTGCTGCCTATCAGCTGTACAGACTTCTGAACCACTGCAAGCTCGCTCAGGCACAGCCTGGCAGCAAACTCTGTGCAAATATCAGACAAAGATCGCATGATACGTTCTTCAGCCTTTTGGTTCACCCCCTCATCGCTGTCCCCCTCAGAATATTCTGTAGCCTCCTCTTTAATTGCAGGAGATGAAGGAATGTACAAGGAGCAAGTGCTCACAGACCCGCTCTGGAGGAGAGGCTGGGGAGGTGCAGGCTGGCTGCGGAGGGCCACTGGGAGTTGAGGAGCTGCCATTGCCATGGGAGAGTCCGGGACACAGCACTGGGATGGCTGATCCTGACATGGTGCCAGGGGCTGCAGAGGGGAATTCGAGGTGGGTGAGGTTTGGGAAGCTGCACGGTGATCAGGACAGGCAGTGGAGCACACAGTATCACTGGGAGGGGTCTCAGAAACACACTTCTGGTAGTACTTTGCAAATGAGGCAATGCAAGTTTCCAAGAAGAGCTCAGCATTAAAAACCTGGCTTATGCCCTGGGTGACGGTCTCCAACTCCATAAAATAGTCACAGCTCTTCTTGCAGCCTCTCTCCCCGTGTGTGGCCCAGATCTTATTGGTGAGCAGCCAGTGAGCGTGGAAGCGTGGCAGCAGGTCTGGCGGTACCGTCTCACTCAGGACGCGGTGCATCTCCTTGCGTTTGCTCTCCGTGGCCCTGCACATGGTGCCGTGCAGGGTGTTGAGGAGCAGCTGCTCGGCCCGGTGCTCCAGGCCCAGCCGCTGAATCTGCTCCTGCAGGTGCTTGCACACATGGAAAGCTGAGAGGCGCACCTCGGCCCCGGGGAAGGCTTGGCCCAGCGCCACGGGCTCGGGGAGGTCGGGGCCCACCAGCAGCACCCGGGTGCGCCACCACGCGGGGTTGAACGCCCGGAAGGCCTCGCACATGCGAGCCAAGCCGCGTGCCGACTCGTCGCGGGGCACTGCGAGGTGCACCACCCTGCCCGCGGCCCCGCGCCCCGCCAGCCACGGCCCGTCCGCCAGGAAGACGTACAGCGCCCGGCCGCTCGGGGCGCAGGCTCGGTGCACCAGCAGGGCCTGGGGGAAGCGAGCGAACAGCGCGCCCATCTCGGCGCTCTGGAAGCTGACGGAGGCCATGCGGCCCTCGGCGTCCAGCTCGTAGGACACCAGGCAGCCGCTCCCCGCGTCCTCCGCCATGGCCGCACCGCCATGTGCACCACGCCCGGCCCCGCGACGCAACCAATCAGCGCCGGGCGCGCAGATGACGTCACGACGCACGCACCGCCACAGCGCCCCCGCGCGGAGAAGGCGGCACAGCGCGCCCGACGCACGGGAACGCGCCCGGCCCCAGCGGCCGCTCACGGCGCGCCCGCCGCCTCCTGCTTCACCCCCAGGTCCGGGCTCGCCTCCGCACCGCGCTCCTTGTCCCCACCTTGCTCGGCCCAGGCGTCCACGATGGCCCTGAGCGCGGAGCTGCGCTCCTCCAGTTGCGCCCCGTCGCTCTGCAGCAGCAGGTTGGCCAGCTCCTTGCTGAGCGCCTGGATCCGGTCCCGCCGGTCCTCCGCCTCCCCCGGAATATCCATGTGCTCCGGCAGCTCCGCGGGCACGGCGCGCTGCTCGTATTTTCGCCGCCAGCGGTGGCCCACCATACCGCTCTCCACGCTCCTGCGTTCGGCGTGCAGCACGGCCAGCACGTGGCGGCAGGGCAGGCGGTAGCGGTGCTGGAAGTAGCAGCTGCAGCTCCGGCAGTCGTCGCTCACCCGGTGCGCGTCTTCCAGCAGCCGCACCTCCACGCCGCCCGGCACGGCGCTGATGAGCTGCGTGGACATCTGCACCACCTCCCACTCGTTGGCACACAGCTGGTAGCCCTGCGCCGTGGAGCAGTCCCGCAGCTCCTCCAGCATGCAGGCCTGCCCCTCCACCACCACACTGGGCACCGTCTGCCTGGGAGGCTCGGGGTGCTCAGTGAGAACCTGTGAGTCAAAAGGAGGATCTGGTTCTGTGGTGGCATGCACCTGCGCTTCAGGTTTCTCCTGGAAGCCTCTCTGACAGTCCTTGGTGCACGAGGGACTCCAGTTGGAGCTTTCCAGAGGTTTGGAATCGAGACACTCTGCGCACTCCAGTAAATGGAGAACGCTTGCCTCCAAGGAGGAGTGCTGGCCAAAGAGAGCAGATAGCCGGTGTGTGACGAGATCCAGACTGTCAATGTGTGCACTGCATGAATGAAGACCTTTCTTGGTATGCATGTACCACAGCAGCTCACAGGAGAACCAGTTGGCCTGGAGGTAGGCGTACAGCTCCGCGTTAACCACGCTCTTCATCATCTGAGACAGGGTTTCCAGACTGTCAGCCGAAGTGGAAAATACTGCATTCTTCAAGGCCAGCTTCATTTCTTGCTTGGCAGAAAGTGGCATTTCTGCTGCATTCACATTCTCCTCAAGCAGTCGGACAGTGTGGTAGACAGAAAGGAGCACCTGAGCCAAAGGAAAGAGCTCCTGAAGGACAGCTTTGTGAGGGAAGGACGTGTCCACAAAAACAACCTTCACCTTTCGCCACTCAGGATTGAACTCCTTGAAAACAGCCAGCATTTTGCTGATGCTCTGTCCCGTGTCAGCTTTCAGCACTGACCAGTGCACAATCTTCCCCACTCGCTCTTTACTCTCTACTAAGAGCACGTAGAGAACGTGTTCTCCCTGGCTCTGTACCCTGTGCAACAGAAGGCTGGTAGGAAACTTTGTAAATAAGCTCTTCATCTTGCTGGTCTGGAAGTTGAGCCTCTCCAGCCCCTGCTCACTGCCTACATCAAGTGAGGCCAGTGCCCCGCTGTCTGCATTCAGGCAGCTTTTCACTACTTCAGTGACTCTGTCTGCTGCTGAGGGAGAATCATTTTCCTTCCCTGCCTCTGAGAGTGCAGGAACCCTGCACAGGGTGGATGCTCCATCCACAACTTGCTCAGCCTCAGGCAAATTCTCATCCACCTCGTTGGAGCTTTCGGTCCCTTCTGCCTGCTGCCTGCACAGCTTGACTGCAGGGCTGCCATCTGCTGTGGTGTTGGCTCTTCTGGTTATGCCAACACCAGTCAGGAAAAACTCTGTGTCCACATGTACATGGTCACTACACAGCTCACTGATCACCAGTTGATCTATGTCCTCATTATATTGCAAAACGAAGTAAGCTGGACACAGATTGGGCTGCTTCTTCCTTTTCTTATTGTACTTTTGGGTCCGGGTACAACCAAACTTCACCTGCATGAACCTGCAAACGTTGAGAAAAAGTTAATGGTGGGAGCAATGATGCTGTTAGTTTTTCAACATTTAGTTTTGACTTCTCTAGCATGTCAGCTCTACATTCAATTAGCAAACATAAAAATATACATCCACCAGATGTGCAAGGCTGGTCTACTCGGAAATCTCAGGATAAGCACAAACAGTGGGAACAAAGGAGCTAAGAGTTACAGCCACCATCACCAAACACCCCGGTATCCACAGGAGCAGGGCAAGAGAGGCTTTAAGACATGGGATTAAGTTCTGTTCTAAGGAGGACTGAGCACATCCATGGGCCCGGTCCCAGCAGAGACAACGAAGGCCTGCAGAACTCAGCACTATGAAAGGGAATCCAGATAAATCCTTTCCAACACATGGGCTAAAAGCAGCCAGGGAACATTACTGGATGCCAACACTTAAGATACCACTTCAGTTGAAAAAGGCCACAGTGATAGTTAGCAACACCACAACAGCATCATCTCAAATACCAGAAAGGCAGGTTTCACCGCAAGGGTCAGAGAGAACAGAGCTGAGCAACGACCGTGCAGAGAGCTGCACGGGGGACAGCACGGAGAGTGCATGCAGGTGTGAGGGCAGCAACACAGCTCAGCCTCACAGCAGCAGGGCCGCGACGGCACCAGCATCGCCCCGCCACCGTGACCTGGCCTGCAGGCAGGCCGCCCTGCCACGGGCACGTGGGATCGCAGCCCGGGGACAGGCGAGGGCGAAGAGGCTCAGCAGCACGTGCCGCTGCCGGTGGGCCGAGGCCTACACGACGCCGGGAGACGGCCGCCTTACATCACATCCTCGCGAACGGCCGTGCCGTGCTCCCGGTTGTGGAAGCGCACCGAGGTGCAGCTGCGCAGGCTATAGTGGGAGCCGTGGGCCTGCTGGTAGGCGCACAGGGACTCCTTGAACTCCCGGTACGTCCGGAAACGCGCCCCGAGCTCCATGGCGAAATGTGAGGGCTGGGCAGCCTGCCGGCCCTTATCAACCCGATGGAGCACCGCCCCGCCCGCCGTCCGACCAATCACAGCCGTTCTTTCCCAACTGGCGGGAGGCCGACCAACCAGCGCAACGTTTTCTGCCGCCAGTCCAGCGATTGACGACTCGAAAACCCAATCAGTTGGTGGCTCCCGCCTCCAGCCGTGTGGGCGGGACTTCCTGCTGCTCCGAGCGGCTGCCGGATGTGGCTGCAGGCAGTGCCGGTTCCGGGTCGCGGCGAAGATGGCGGAGCCGGGCGATGCCGGGGCTGCGGCCTCGGGCTCGGGTCTGAAGCGGCTGGCAGCGGCCGGGGACCTGCGGAGCGTGCTGATCACCAGCGTGCTCAACCTGGAGCGCCTCGAGGTCGACCTCTTCAGGTGCGCGGTGCTCCGCCCGCCCGTCCCTCCGCGCTGTCCGCCGCACTGACGGCAGCCGCCATTCTCCCGTTAGGGGTCAGCACCACTGGGTGCCCGTGACGAGGCGCCTTTTCGGCGGGCAGATCGTGGGCCAGGCCCTGGTGGCAGCCGCCCGTGCCGTCAGCCGTGACCTCCAGGCCCACTCGCTGCACTGCTACTTCGTGCGCGCAGGTGGGACCGCGCCGCGGGGCTCGGGCGGCTCAAGGATACCGGGGCCGGGTGGGCGGATCTGGGAGATGGGGGGGGGGGCCGGGACCGGGGCCGCCATTCTGTGCCTGCCGCAGTGGAGCAGTGCTTCTTCTGCCTGGCCCCGGCTTTCTGCCAGCGCGGATCGGGGCCCTCTGTGGTGCATGGCTGTCCCGCGGCCAAAGGCTCCCATCCACCCAGGGGACCCCAAGGTGCCGGTGTTATACGAGGTGGAGCGGACCCGTACTGGAAAGAGCTTCTCCGTCCGCTCTGTGAAGGCCATTCAGCATGGGAAGCCTATCTTCATCTGCCAGGCCTCCTTCCAGCTGTCCCAGCAGAGTCCTGTGCAGCACCAGTTCACCATGCCCACCGTGCCACCCCCTGAGGAGCTGCTGACACAGGAGGAGCTCATTGAGAAGTTCCTGCAGTGAGTGGAGAGGAAAGGGCATACCCTGGGGGCTCCCTGCTCTGTGCTGGGGCTTAGGGAGGCACAGGGACAGAAGCAGATGGGAAAAGATTGCAGCGATAACCCAAGGAGTCCCCACATGCACTTGCAAAGGAAGGAGAGGCAGGCAGCAGCAGCTGTGCCCTCCTGCTTTTCCCTGTGGCCCTGGGCTGACACTGCCTTCCATGGGTACTGGGCATTGATTTTGCTTCTCCATATTGGTCTCAAGGAATCCTAACTTGGCAGAGAGATACAGAAAGCATCTCAACAGGATCCAAGCTGAAGATGTGCCGATTGATATCAAACCTGTGAACCCACCAGATATACTCTGCACAGAGCCGCAGGAGGCAAAGCAGTTCTTCTGGGTGCGAGCCCGAGGCTACATAGGTGGGTACTGCCTGGAGGGGCCTTTGGCTGCCACACAAATCCAGGGCTGGGGCTCAAGCTCTCACACTCATGACAGAGGGCTGGGAGAGTTGTGGTCCCTATGCCCTAAAGCTGGGGGAAATGTGGGGGTTTCAGGACTGAAGTAAGGGCAGGGGGCCAGGGTGTGAGGCAATGCCCATTTGCTGTATTCAGTCCTGCAGCCTTCAGCCTGGGCCATAGCAAGGGCTGAAGGTCTGAAGTAGTGCCGCAGTGCTGCTGGGCTCACAGCTACCTTGGGGACGCACAGCTGTTGGAGCTTTACATCACCTACCGTGTCCAGATGTGTCCCACAGTCACCTGGCACTGAGCAAACAGTGGCTTTTTGCAGGAGAGACTGACATGAAGGTGCACTGCTGTGTGGCCGCCTACATCTCTGACTATGCCTTTCTGGGCACGGCGCTACTGCCTCATCGTCAGTACAAAATCAAATTCATGGTGTCCCTCGACCACTCCATGTGGTTCCATGCGCCCTTCCGATCTGACCACTGGATGCTGTACGAGTGCGAGAGCCCCTGGGCTGGTGAGTCTTGGCTGGTTCCCCGGACACCACACGGCAAAGGCTGATGCAACCCACACAGGGCTGCAGTCTCACGCCGTTTTCTGCAGGTGGGTGCCGAGGGCTGGTGCACGGACGCTTGTGGCGCAGGGATGGGGTCCTGGCTGTCACCTGTACACAGGAAGGAGTCATCCGGGTGGAGCAGAACCCAAACCAGAGTAAACTCTAGCCAAGGAAGCCAGATACAGCAGTTGGACTAAGCTCCGTGTGCTGGGGTTGAAGCCTGCACCAGAATACCTGTGGCAGAGGCAGGACCCCGCGCAGCAGCAGAAGGAGCAGCAGAAGAGAAGCAGCTTAGTCCCACAGGTGGAAGTGTTGGTGCCAGCACTTCAACACTGAGGTGATTCTGCATGGGCTGCAGTGTTACTGCTGTCAATTGCCAGCTGTGCAGCGTAATGGCGCGCTATGCTGAGCCACTCTTCACCCACAGTAATAAAGCTATCACGTGAGCAGCTGAGCTCTGTATCCTGGACTTTGTCCCCTCAACTCTGGGTGACTGTGTGTAGCTCAGATCTTCTGGTGGCAGGGGAGGAGAGGGCAGCACCAGGACACTTGGGGCTGGCCGTGCCCTGCAGCACACAGGTCAGAGAAGAAAGTGCTACTGCAACGCTCACATGGCTTCCTCTTCTCACTTCTGCTGACCTCCTTGTGCCCTTATGGTAAGCTGCTGCTGCTGCTAGCACCTTGGTCTCCTCTTTGGAGCTGAGCTGGAGAGGGGAGCACAGCAGCCACAAAGAAAGGGAAGAACACGGCCGTTCCCACCTCCTGGTTTGGGAAGTACAAGGTCTTCCTGCTGGTGGGTGTCTTTGTGCGGTGCCTCAGGGGGAAGTGAAGCTACACAGATACTGCAGGAACCCCTGTTCTTTCTCCTGTCACGGCTTTGTTAAAGTCCTTTTTATTTTCTGTTATTGGAAATTCCTGGCTGGAAGCCTTTCTGTCCCTTTAATGCAGTGCCAGTGTGTCTCAGCTAAAGTCCTGTCTGTCTTGAGAACCCCAAGGAGCAGGTGGCTCCTGACAGGTAGTGTGAGCAGCAAGCAACCAGCACAGATGGAAAAACTGATATAGAAAGTGCATTTTCAAGAGAGAGCTCCCAGAGGGGCCAACCCTGATCCCAGCCACCACATACAGACTGTGCCATCACAACTCTGCCTCTGTGCCCCATCCCAACCCTCTCTGCTCCCTCTCCCGCCCCAGAGCGCAAACTGTCTGCACCCCACGGCCCCTAGCCTCACTCCAGAGGTTCCTTGATGAGATACTCCTTCAGGCTGGGCTGCTGCTGCAAGGGCACGCCGGCCTCCTGCAGGCCCTGCAGCCGGGCTTCTGACCGCCGCTTGTCCTTGCCCACTTTCCAGGCCAGGTGGACGTGAGCCTGGAGGAAGGGCCCCAGCAGTGGGTGGCTGTCCTGGGCCTCCAGCAGCTGCAGCGCCTGTTCGCAGCAGCCGTGGGCTTCACCCAGCTGGTCCAACTCCTGGTGGCAGACGACCAACCCGGCCAGCGTCAGGAGGAAGCGGCCAGAGCCGCACACCCCCAGGCGGTCCTGCAGCCGGTAGGCGTTGGCCCAGGTGGCCAGAGCCTCGCGGTACATGCCGGTGCAGGTGAGGCGCTGGGCGGCACGCAGGTCCTGCAGGAAGAAGAATTCAAGGAACTCGGGGGAGCGGCGGATCTCGGCGATGGAGTGCAGGTGGGACAGGAACTGCTCGAAGGCTCGGCTCCGCTTGGCGATGGTCTCGGCCGTAAAGTTGCGCCGCAGCCTCTTCCTGGGGAAGGCGATGCCCGCCATGTCACAGCCAAAGCGGCCACGCAGGCGGCGGTTCAGCCGCTCGAAGTCTGAGTAGCGACGGGAGATGGCGGCGGGAGCCTTGTCCAAGTGCCCCGAGCGGATCAGGTAGATGGTGTAGAGCTGCGGGCAGGGAACGGGGGTCGGGAGGTGCTGTGCTGGGGGACACGGCCCCTGGTGGGGCCGGGGCTGAACCGAGTGCACAGCAGCAAAGGAGATGAAGGGATGGGCACGCCGTGCTCCAAGGGCGGCATTCACACGGCGGAGCTGCGGGCCGTAGTTACCTGAGGCTCATCTGAGCCGCAGCACCATCAGAGCAGCACGGGGAGAGACAGAGAGAGGTGAGCGCCCGCCCGCCCGCCCGGACCCCCACCCGCCGCTGCGGCCCCGCGGGCGCACTCACCACGTACTTGGAGGAGCGCTCGCTGACCACGCTGGCGCTGGTGACCTCGAAGAGCAGCCGCTGCGGTACGAAGCTGCTCCGCGACCGCCGCCACAGCTCCTGCAGCTGCCGGGTCAGCAGGCTGCCGGGCCGCGCCGCCGGGCCCCACTCTGTGCGGGGAGAAGGGCTCAGCGGGCGCCGGGGCGGCGGGAGCCCAGGGCACCCATCCCAGCACCTGCCTCCGTCCTGCGCGCCATCCCCCGCCTGCAGCTCCTCGCCGCCGCCGCCGTCCTCCTCCTCCTCCTCCTCGTCCTCGTCCTCCTCGTGCCCGCTGAAGCTCAGGGTGCCGCTGAGGCGCGTGGACAGCCCTTCGGTGTCGTCCTCCAGCTCCGAGCTCTCGGGGCAGTCCTCGGCCTCAACGCCGTCGTGTGTCCGCTCCTCCCGGGCGCCCTCTGCGCCCAACGCGTGCCGCAGGCGGTGCAGGATGCGGGCGGCCATCCCCGCGGTGCGGCTGCGGCGACGGGTCAGCCCCGGCCGCCCCGACAACGGGACGGGCACGGGGGGGGGGGGGCGGGGGCAGCGCGGGACCCCGCACCGGGACGGCCCCGCTCCCGGCCGGGACCCTCCGGCCCCCCCGAGCCGGGCGCACCCTCAGCCCCGCTGCCCCAGGAGCAGCCCCGCTGCCGCGGTGGGCGTTACGCACCGTACCGTACCGCGCTGTGCCGGGCCGCGCCGCGCCGGGCGGTGCCGAGCGATGGCCGCTCCGCCGCTGCTCGTCCCGGGATCCTCCCTGCGCGGCTCCGCCTCCGCTGGGAACCCGGATCGCGGCGGGGCTGTCACGTCCCGGCACGGCATAGCGCGGCTCGGCACGGCGCGGTCCGGCTTTCTCGCTGCCCGCACAGCCCCTGCCCTGTTCCTGGGCACAGCTCCCTGATTGCCACCACCCTGCGCTGCCACGGCACCCTGACACCTCGGTACCCCAACACCACGACATCCCAACACCACGACATCCCAACACCACGACATCCCAATACCCGGCACCCTCACCCATCACCCCTGCCCTCCTCAGCCTCGCCACAGGCTCCTGCTCCTGGGCTGCAGCCATGGCCGGTGCCGGGCACTCACCGCCCTTATTTAGTGCCATACCCACTCTGTCCTTGCTGCTTTCTTGGGAATGTCTATTAATATCGAGGAATGATCCAGCTGCTGCCATCACTCTGTCCTTGCTCCTCGCTGTGCTGTGCTGCCCCATCCATGGGGTGCCTCAGAGCTGCCCCAGCACAGGATCCTGCAGACCGACAGTCCTGCTGCAGCCCCAAAAGCCCTTCTGAAGAGCCGCACAGGGCACAAGGGCCGTGGGCCACTTGGCCAGCCAGTCCCAGGGCCATTGGCCTGGCAGAGACACAGCTGTGCCGCGCTTTTGAGGAGGCCGTGGGCATCATTCCCACTCTCCCAGAGTCACGGAGCAGACGTGCCACTTCTGGCCCTGCCAGGCCCAGGCGGCGGCTGCCAGCAAAGTGGGAAGTCACTGCAAGGCCAGGTCCCACTGTAGGACCCTGCTCCTCATCCACCTGCAGCTCACAGCCAGTGCTGCTCTGGGGCTGGGGGCTGCTGCTTTGCCTCAGCCCCTCCAGAGCAGAAATAAGGGGTGAAAGGAGGGGCCGATGGTTTGGGCACAGCCAAAGCAGCCGGGTACTGAGGGGTGAGGGAGGGGGCACAGCCCCAGCGCTGCCCGCCTGCCCCAGTCTGTGCTGTGGGGTTAGCAGTGGTGCAGGCACTGCTGTCCAGCTCTGTCCGTACTGCTGGCCTGACATGTGGGGAGCCCAGTCCTGGTGTTGGGGATGCCACTATTTGGGGCTATTTTTAACCCTCTCCATGCTGAGCTGTCCTGGTGCAAGGAGGTGTAGATTAAGGGGCTGCACTCCTGCCAAGAGGCCGTGTCCCTCCCTGCAGGGCTTGAATTTCTATCCCGACTTCAGACCCACGTTTAATCCCCCGCTCTTGGCCAATAACGCTTTGGCTAAATTAGGTAAAATGAGCCTGGTGCCAATGAGCGGGGCCGGATTTCCACCAGGGAGCTGATAGGCTGCTGGGGCTGGGGGCCAACGGCTGGGGGCACGAGGACACTACAAATTGGGGAGCCAAGGAGTGTCTGGGGGCTGCTGGTGCAGGAGGTGGTGACTCCCTGCGGGAGGAGAGCAGCAGAGATGGCGTCGATGGTAAGTGCTCCAATGGTGCTGGGGTGAGCGGTGGCTGGGCCAGAGGTGTTGGGCACCGTGATGTGGGGCTGCCAGGCACCTCTATGGGGCGATGGCAGAGGGACAATTCCTGCAGGCTGGCTGTGGCGGAAGGCAGAAGGGACGTGGGGGCAGCGGGACATGTTCCCCATGGCGTATATCCCCCTATGGGACGCGTACCCCTATGAGACATGCCTCAGGGAGGGATTGCATGGCTGCCTGGAAGTAACTGGTGCATGGGGTGATCAGAGCTGGATCTGGGCTATGTGAAGGCGCTGAAAGCCAAGCGCTGGGTCATGCGACACCTCTGTGGCCCCAGACAGCCCTCGCCTCCAGGAGAAACTCAATCCGGGGCAAACAGGTGCCCGCTCAGCACTGCTCCCTATAAGGGGAGTTGAGGAGAGTTCAAAAATAGTGTCGCGTGCCTGGGATGCCAAGGCAGCATGGCGGCCCCTGCGTCATGGACCCCCGGTGGGCGGCTGCATGGGGCTTGGGGCAGCTGAGCTGCAGGGCTGCCTGAGGCCTTGGCTCACTCAGGGAACAGCCACGTGCTGTAGAGCTGAGCTGGACAAAGGCTTTGCAGCTGTGTCGGGAGGCTGAAGTTTTGCACTGTGCCAGATACTGCTGCAGACACCTTTATGCTGCTGACCCTGGGCAGGGGCTGTGCTGGCAGGGCAGGGGTGCATGGGGCAGGAACTGACCCCTTCTCCCTGTGCCTTACAGACGGACCAGCAGGCGGAGGCCCGTGCCTTCCTCAGCGAGGAGATGATCGCTGGTGAGCAGGGAGAGGAGCGGGGCCCCATCCTGACCCACGCCATTGCCTGAGTCCCAGCACTGACCAGTCTTCCCTGCAGAGTTCAAAGCTGCCTTCGACATGTTTGATGCGGACGGTGGTGGGGACATCAGCACCAAGGAGTTGGGCACGGTGATGAGGATGCTGGGCCAGAACCCCACCAAGGAAGAGCTGGATGCCATCATCGAGGAGGTGGACGAGGACGGTGAGCAGCTTCCATGGGGGCGGTGGGTGGCTTGAGTGCACGGCCTGACCCGCATCGCGCTCCCTCCCCACAGGCAGCGGCACCATTGACTTCGAGGAGTTCCTGGTGATGATGGTGCGCCAGATGAAAGAGGACGCCAAGGGCAAGTCTGAGGAGGAGCTGGCCAACTGCTTCCGCATCTTCGACAGGTGAGGGGGGCAGTGCCTGCTGGCACCTGTCCTTGGTGGCGAGCAGGGCCACATCCTGCCATTACTCTCCCACAGGAATGCTGATGGGTTCATCGACATCGAGGAGCTGGGTGAGATTCTCAGGGCCACCGGGGAGCACGTCACCGAGGAGGATATAGAAGACCTCATGAAGGATTCAGACAAGAACAATGATGGCCGCATTGACTTCGATGGTGAGCGGCAGCCCTGACCCTGCAGCTTGCTCAGCCCCTTTGGGCTGCGTGTCTGGCACAGCTGGGTCTGATGGTGCCGCTTTCTTGCAGAGTTCCTGAAGATGATGGAGGGCGTGCAGTAAGGGATCAGACATTCCTTGGGCCGGCTGCGGCAGCCAGCCCTGCTCCTCTGCCCAGGAGTGGCCCCGCTGCAGCACCTGGCCTCGCTGCTCACCCGCTGGAGCCCTGCAGCAGCTTGTGCCCCTCGGCCGGCGGCTGAGCTTTTCCTTGACTCTGACAGATGTGGTTTATGGATGAGCCTCATTAAAAGGGGAAAGGCTGAGCTGCCAGTATGGGAGTGCCTGGGGGGGCTGTGGCACTGTGCCCCATGCAGGGGGACATGGGGGAGCGCGCAATGCCGTGCCATAGCCTGTACCAACCAGCCTGACCTGCGAGCGTGTGAGCAGCGGTTCCCATGGGCTGCTGGGTGGGCGCCAGCCAGCGCTGAGCTCAGAGTTTCCATCAGGAGCACTCGCTTCCCACGACAGCAGCAGCAGGGAGCACAGCCCTGTCCTCCCATGGTCCCAGCAGGCAGCACTGGGAAGTTGCTTCTGCTCACTCTTGGCAGGATGTGTGACGACACTGGATTTTGGAAAGGGAAAGGGGGGAAAAGGGGGGAGAAGGGGGACAAGCATTGCTGCAGGGTTCTGATGGAAAGGATGGGGTATCCTATCAAATAAAGTAGGGGGGCTGCTGCCCCCCCCCCAAGACAGCAGCCACCCCTCTGCGCATGCATTAAGGCAATGCTGGAAAAGCCAGCCTGGTCTGTGCCAGCTCTCCCTGGGGACTTGCGTCTCTGTGCAGCCTCTGCAACTGGGGAGGAGCACAGCCACAGGGGCGCCAAGAGCAGAACATCTCAGGGCCAGGGCTCACAGGTCCAGGGAACACCAGTGCCTGTGGGAGCAACGGGACAGGCACTGTGCAGGACCCCGGCTCAGGACCCATCCCCGTCCTGCAGAGCCAGCGAGAAGCTGAGTCCTTATGGCACAGGATGGCACCAGGGCGAGGGGCTGCTTCTGGCTGCAGGGCACGGGGGGTGTGCATGGCCACCCAGACTGCGCTCTGCAAGGCAGCGGCGGGGCACCGACAGCTGGTGCTGCAACTGGGGAGCAGCGCTGATGGCCCCCAGCTGCGCGAGGAGCGGCACAGGAGGAGCGCGGAGGTGCGGGAGCTCAGTGTTGGTAAGGGTCCATGCAGTGGGCAGAACAGGGACTGAGCAGAGGGGCTGCAGCACACTCAGCATCTCCATCCTGCAGGGCTGCAGAGCGCACTGCTGGCGTGGCTGCGGCAGGCAGCGGGCCCTCAGGAGCGGCGAGAGCTGGAGCGGCTGTGGGTGCTCTTCCTCTCTGCCCTGGAGCTTTTCCTGCAGGACCTGTGCTGCGCCCACCACCTCTGCAGCATCTTCTCCCCAGGGGTGGGTGGTGTGACCCCACTGCGCACTGGGCTGGGGGGGTGGCGAGGTGGGAGTCCTGAGCTGCCCCCAGCCCCCCCATGCCTGGAGGAGGAGATGGAGCAGGTGAAGGCAATGCTGGTGGAGATGGAGAGCACGGCCAACATCCCACTATGGACAGTGGAATCCATGCATGTGGTGGGGCCAGGGGAGGGCACAGCCCCCGTGTCCTGCAGGCCAGGGCCTGGCACTGAGTCTTGCTGCAGGGTGCTGTGAGCTGCGGGCAGGAAATGCAGGGTTGACTTGGCTCAGGAGGATGGGACCCCATGTGCCCCGAGAGCTTCTCCTGCAGGGCAGTAATAAAGCCCCACACTACCTGATGTGTATTTGCGTCCTTCCATCCCTTCCATCTACCCTGTAGTCCCCCTAACACAGCATTGCAGGTAACCCATCTGTGCAATGCATGTAAGCAGATGGAAGAACCTATAGATGTGTATTTATTTATACATTAACCGTAGGTCGCACTCCAGAATTAAGTTAAAAACAGCCTATAATACAGAAAGGCGCAGCAGACAGGGGCAAGGGGGTGGTGTGGTGGGGGTCAGGTCTCCTGGCTCTTAGCCTGCTTGCTGTACATCTCCCGCAGGTACTTCTTGTAGGCTGTAGGGAAAGGAGATGGAAGCTGAGGTTGGAGCCAGGGCTGTGCCACTGCACAGCTTGAGGAGGATCCTCAGGACACTCACCAGCCTGGTTCTTCCACAGCTCTGCAGCATGCGTGTTCAACGGGCTGTCAATGTTGGGCTCTGGGGACAAGGGCAGGGTCAGGATGGGTCAGAGGTGTCCACGGCCCCCACGCCCAGCACACCCACCTGCCAGCAGGCTCTGGATGGACAGCAGGATGGTGCGCACGTCATACAGCGCCGACCACTTCTCCTTCAGGATGTCGAGGCAGATGTTGCCCTGAGCGTCCACGTTGGGGTGGTAACAGGGCGTGAGGAAGCGCACCGTGGGTGCGGTGTAGGGATATCCGCTGGGGAACTCCAGGGACAGTTTATAGCGCAGCTCCTCGTAGGCCTGCGTGCGGCAGTTAGCGGGGTGGGGGACCGGGAGGGAGGGGGGGGGGGGAGGCGCGTCGTGCGGTGCCGCGCGGGGTCTCACCGTGCCCGCCGCGCCGTCGATGGTGCCGATCCAGCGGAAGAGGTTATCGGACTCGGGGAAGGCGGAGATGCCTTTGTCGCCGGACATCTGCGAGGCAGCGCCATCAGCGCCGGCCCGGCACGCACCGCCCCTCTGCCCCCGACCCCACTCACCATCAGCGCCACCAGCTCCTGCTGCAGCCTGCGGGGACAACGCGTTACGGGTCGCACCGGCAACCGCGGGCGGGGCAGCCCAACCGCCTCCGGCCCCCGGCCCGGCCTCACCTCTTCCCCACGGAGCCGCGGGCGGCCGTGGCTCCCGCCTCGGCCCCTTTGCGGGCGGCGGCGCTGGGCACGGCGGCGGGGTCGGTGTTCTGCGAGGCCATGACGGTTCCAGGCCGCTCCCTCGTGCTCTCGCTCGGCGGCTTGCTAGGCTGGACTCGGCTCGGCCCGCTCCCGGTGCGGTGCGGCTCAGCTCCGATCCCGGGTCCCGGCCCCGCTTCCCCTGCCTTCCGTTCCGCCCCCGCTCCCGCACTCCGTTTGAATGTTTCAAACTCGCGACGTCTCCACCAATCAGCGCGCACTTCCGCTCCCGCCAGCCAATCGGACACAGCGAAGAACGCGGCTGCTACGGAAACGGCGGGTGGACCCGGAAGAGGTGGGACAGCGCATGCGCGAAAGATCCCCGACCCCCCCCCCCCCTCCCCCCAGCAGGCGTGGAAACGGGTGCGAAGCAGTGGCTTTTATTGCGGGGCCGGGGGCAGGTCTGCGGGCTCGGGATGGCCTTCGGGAGGACCCTCAGGAAGGGTCTCGGGGGGGATCTCAGGGGGCGGCGGTGGGTCCCCCCCATTGCGAAGCGTCTCCATGTACTTCTGCATCTTCTCCGTCATCCAGGCAGGTGGGACGAAGGGCTTCAGCTCCTCCAGCCGCAGGTCCACCGAGTCCCTGTGGGAGAGCAGGGTGAGTGCAGGTCACAGGCACTTGGGGCAAGCGAGGCCTCACAGGGTCCCCGGCCCTGGTATCCATCCGAGTGACCCCACCGTTTGCAGGGCCCGGGGCCTCACCTGTAGTCATCAGTGGCCGCCAAGTCGCGGATGTCCTCTTCCAGCAGGAGGTAGGCCTGCAGCAAGGCGAGACACGCGCTGTGCTTCTGCTGGGGTCTGCGGTGCCCGCAAGGCAGCTCTACCACCCCATCCCTGCATTCCTGGCTCTTGCGCCTGCCCGAGCCCCGGGAGCAGCAAACGTCTCTTGGCCGAGGTGCCCGAGCCCTGCCTCTGCCTGTCCTGCCACGTGGCCCTGCCCGTGGCGTGCTGCCTGCCTCTCTGCTCCTCCGCCCCTGTCCGACCTGAGCGGGTTTCCGCACAGTTCTTGGGCTGCAGCGGGCACAAGCCCGGGCGTACTCACCATCTTGCCCCCAGTGGCCCTCATGTGCTGCTGCTCTGCCAGCCATTGCTTATCCTGCGGGTCGGCTGCGTACTGCAATAAAGCAGCAAGGACCTGGCTGAACACAGGACACAGACCTCCCACCTGGACCCCCCCTTCCTGTGGGGCACAGCCCATTCCAGTGCTCTGCTGTCAGCACCTCCCCCCCTGCGGCACGGTGCTGGGGGCTCCCAGAGGGAGGGCTTAGCCCTGCCTGCTCTCCTCTCAAACAAAACCCTGACTCTAGGCAAAACCAGCACCTGAGATGCTGTGCTACCATTAACTTATGTTTTAGTGTGCTGGCCAGGTTGTGTGTACGTGTTCTAAGACAACAAATGGGGTGTGGGGAGGAAAAACCAAGCGAGCCAAAGCACGCGTTCCCAGTTCCCATCACAAACTGCTTCTGAGCAAACCCCAAAGGAGGAGGCATCCTGCGGTGGTATCTGACCTTAAAGAGGTGGGGATGCTTGATGTAGAGTCGCCCTCTTGTTCCTCCCATCCCGAGAGCTCTGAAAAAAGAACACAAGCGGGTGTTACACTGGGGCAGAGGGGCCCTGCAGCAGAACGGGGCACCTCCTCTCCTCCCAAGACCCCAGCCCTTCCTACTGCTTTCGAGGCAGAGAAGTGAAGTGATGGGAGGAGTCTTACGGGCTCCTGCCTGGGAGACACCACCCTCCATCAACAGGGCCATTCCTTACTTGTTTGCTCGAGATCCCAGCACAAAGGTTGTGGTTTCAGTCAGTCGGGATGGATCCCACTACAGAGCAATTGGAAAAGGGGCAACATTAGAAATGAAGCTGGTGCCAGCCAATGCTCCATGAGCCTCAGCTCTCTGATGGGGAACCTTAAGAACTGCCCCCTGATTTGGGAAGGAGGGAGGTAGCCACAAACCTCTGGATTGCCACAGAGGAAGGAAACTGCATCACTTTGGGCTGGTCTAAGCTGTTCCCCTTGTGGGAAACACTTGTGGGATCCTCCTGGCTATTACTAAGGCTCTCCCCATGTCTCCTAACAGCTGTACCACACCACAGAGCTACAGTGTCTGGAGGAAGCAAGCAAAGGCTTCCAGGCACTGTAAAGACTCAGCAGGGTAGGGCACAACTTAGGACTGTCCTGTGCTGCCGCTGCAGGCAGGGCTCTGCTAGCGGAAGGGAAGGGAGGAGAGGGTGAGCCCAGCAGCAGCAGCCAGCCAATACCTTTGGTCCATCCCTTCTCACAGGCTCAGAGACTTTGAGCTTCCACCTGAAGGGAAGGAAAGTGAAATGAGAATAGGTCCTAGAAAGATCAATGCAGACAGAAACCTCCCAGTGGCAGGAATCTGAGCTTGAACCCTTCCAGATCCACCCTCTCCCATTTTCCACCTCGCTCTGGACCCTCATCTCTGCTGTGTTCCCTGCTACCATCTGTGTCACACACAGCTCACTGCATCATCCACCCGGTTCTGTGCATCCCGTGGCCCTGTTTAAAGCTGTTTCCTGGAAGGCTTTCACCTCCTGTGACTCAACCTCAGCCAAAACTTTCTTGCCCTCTGACATCTCTCCCTGCACCTCTCTTGTGCAGGGGGAAGGAGACCACAGGTTTTGGTGCCCCTTACTTGAGCCAGTTTTGCTTCCCGCTGCCCCCTGAAGCACAGGAAGCAGCTTGAGGCCAATACTCACGCAGACATGCCTGAGGCCCCACGATCATTTGACAGGCTCTGTCCTGGAGGCCGTCCCTTTCTCTGCATGGAAGAAATCCTTCAGTCATTCAGTAGTGCAGTTAGAGAGGACCCTTTTAATTATCTGTTCCCTCCTACAGAAGCAGCTATTTTTACCAGGAGCACAATACCAGCATGAGAGCAAGCAACTCTGAGCCTTCACAAAAGTCATTCACACTTGCACATGCTCATACTGTGGTAATAACCAGGAGCAAGAAACAGGTCTCCCAAAAGCATAAAATCTCCCATGTGGAAAACCCTCCTACCTTTTTGGGAAGGGGGCTTCCTCGACGATTCAATTCCTCATCTATCAGTCGGGCACGCTGGAAGAGGAATGGTGGGAGGATGGAGACGAGCCCTTCTCCCATCCCAGTCAGGCAGGACCCCATGCACACAGCCCACAGCTCTCATTTGCTGACTCAAGGCAGAGAGCACAAGGGCACAGAGAAACTCTGCAGCCACCCCATAGCAGTGTGAAGCACTCAGATGCTATGCCCGTGGTCTGCACTGATCTGTAGGTTACTTTTTCCCACAAGACTAACATTTCCCAGCTCCATCTCCTCACTTGCACAGTTAATGGATAATTCCAACCCCGTCATTCTATTCCTCCCAGCTTTAACAAATCATTTAATCTTCTGGGAACAATAACAACTTTTACCTTTGGTCCCATCTGCTCATGGGGCAACCTGGACACAACTTTTTTGCCATCAGAGAACAGCAGCTTGGCCTGCAGGAAGAAAAGGAAGGTTACCTGATTCTCGGTGGAAAGGGGGTCTGCTAGCAACCCCTGCTTCACCCTGTGACAGAGGATCTGTGTGCAAAGGCACCTGTGCTGATAGGAAAGCCCCAGGCCACGTGAAATGTATAAGCCACATCTAAGGATCAAACTCTTTGTTGACAGCTGGCCACTACAGACTCTAAAGATTTGGGTATATCTGCCCCCAAGCCTTGTCCCAGAAATAGTTTCAGAGCACTTTCACGTGTGCTTGTGCCCACCTGCTCCAGGCAGCTCCGACACGTCTCCTGGATGAGTTGCTCTGGGTCCACCTCCTCCCCAACGTTGTCACGCACATTGAGTGCTGCCTTCTGGAAAAACTGGGGAAGGAGCAGCAAGGTGTCAGCAGCC